TTTTTTTTTTTTTTTTTTTGAACGAACGAAAATGAACAAAGAAAGATTAAAAGAGAATGGGAAAGGAAAGACACGCGATCGACCCTCTCAATGAAAGCACCAATGATGAAGACCGTGTGTCTCGATTGCCGACAAGCCGCTCCCGCGCCTTAAATCGTTCAATAGGTGCTAGGAAGTCGCACACTCGCAGCCTTTCTAACGAATAAAATTGCAAAAGAATTCAAGAAGAAAACTAGAGCAAAGAGTTTGAACAAAAGTTCGGATTTTTGTATTGATTTCTGAATGATTAAATTAACAAGAGGAAGGGCCTTTATATAGGCATCAACTAGATCTAGTCCTAATATAACTATAACTCCAATAAAGCAATAAAATATTAAGTATCCCAAACAATCTAGAAAACAAGGAAATAAAATATTAATCAAGCTATTTAATTTATTTCTTGCTTGCGCCCCAAACCGCCTTGCCCGCGTCCGCGTTGCCTAATCGCCTAAGGACTATGACTTCATGTTCCATTCCCGCGCACGCGTCCAGCAGCTCGCCTAATCCTCGCGCGCCTAGGCAAGCGTGTACCCCGTCGCCTGCGCGTTCAACCCCACGGTCGTCTCCGACAGTATCGCGCGCGTGTCCGTCCACGTATCACGCCTCTCCGGCACGACGACTTAGCCTCCTTCGCGCATGCCACGCGCGACTCGCCGCGTTCATAAGTCTTCTCGCTGTGTCCGCATCACGCTGCCTGGACTGGCCGCGGGCGCTGGCTGTTGGGCAGCACTGAGCACAGCCACGCGCGCTAGCATGTGCTGGCGTGCTCCTGGCATGGCTGACGTGAGTTAAGTCCGTCGGGCGTGATCTGAGGCTTTGTCAAACGCTACATGCGTTGGCTGCCGCGTGACTGGGCACGATCAGGTGTTACCGCACACCAAGACGTGCAGCTGGGCACTAGAGGGCGCGCACAGGCGCTGGCTGGCATGACTGGCACCGTGCGGGCACTGCCGTGCGATACCCATGGTGCTGGCTACTCGGGCGGCCTGCTGGGCGCTGCCACTAGTGTGCGACGCTGCGTGTTGGGGTAACTACCGCACGCTGGCGTGCTCGACTGGACGTGGCAAGTGCGTATGCGCATTTCCAACCACTGACTGCTGTTGCGGGCGGCTATGTGCCGCTGTCATGGACATGCGCACCCGCTGGAAGCCCGTGTTGCTTGACTGCCGGCACGCACAGCCATTATGTGCTGTAGCGTGCATACGTCCGGCCCTTGCCGGCCGTTCGACAATTTCTTCTGGCAACTTCAACATGATTCAACGCAATTTAACATGACATGATCATACATGCTGACCTTTCTTAAACTTACTGAATTTCGTTCGAAGGACTCGACTTATGTCGAAGTGTGCGCTCCATGCACACGGATTCGGCGTTAGGCCTATACCTCGACTAAACGTGAAACTTCTCCGAACAATATTAAGAGTCTGACCTTAATACACCATTTTAAAGCTGTTGGGACATGAATTACACGGTCAAACTTGATCATAACAAAAGATAACATGACACGGCCGGTCATGATCCGTAGGCGTGCGCTGCCGACGATTTTAGGCCAATTCATGAACAAAACGACAACTTGACTCGACTAACATGAATGAACTAAGTACAAACTGACTTATAATGATCAAATAAACACGTATTTCTCGGGACTTGCCGGATAATAACAAACTTCACTCGGTCACGACCTAACATGGCCTAAACCGAACGTGCCTCAACTTTTCATGATTCACTTAGCATGAGTTGAACATGGTCTCACTAATCTGACTCTATTAACATGATTTGATGGGAAAATTGGGTTACCTTTACAAGCTCTCGGCCAACTTCACGAGAACGGACGTGACTTTCCGGCTCCGAGCGTGCATGTGTGCTTCTCCGCGTGCGGTACTACTAAGGCAACCCTCCATTCTCTTTTTTTTTTTTTTTTTACTTAGTAACTTAACTTATGGTTGAAATATATAGGCTGAAAAATGGGAAAAATGATCCCAACTCCCCCTAATACATAATAGCCGAGAGCAAAGTATGAAGAGGTGGGAAAAATTTTGTTAACTAATAGTAATCACCACTTTTTAAGCCTTGGAGCTTAGTTATCCCTAAGTGGGATTAGTCATCACTTAGCATCACCTCAAGCTAAAAATTGAAGACAAATTCTCCCCAAATTACTACATTGCTCACGGCTTTAGCAAGAAGAGTGGATGAAATTAATCATTTTAATGCTCACGGCATTAATTAATTTAAACATGATTAATTCTTTAATTAAGCATAATTAAATACTTAATTATTTAATTAGACATGATACTTAATTACCAAAATTATTCCGAACGCAAACGTGACGTCGAAAATAATTTCGGGTAATCTCGACTGAAAATAATTAATTCCGAAAAATAATAATCGACAATATTATTATATCGGAACTAATTACATAACTTATATTATTAACATGACGGGATATTCCTGACTTGGACGACTAATCCGAATATTGATATTTCGAATAATTCGTCAACTTAACTTATTAATTCCGAACTTCATTAAACAAAGAAGCGATTCGGAATTAAATCTGGAAACTTATTCGGTTACTGAAATAATTAAACCGAATAATTTATCGACTAATAGTCGAACTTGGAATATAACTAACTGAATAACTTGAACTTGAACATGAACATGATTATTTATTAACAAAGGCTAGCTTAAAATTAAAAGCTAGTATTTTCCTTTATTAATAAAACTCGGGGTGTTACATCGAGCATCCAATATTCTTATACCTAAACCCAATATATAAAGGATAATGCATCTATCCTCGAATATTAAGGAGATAACTATAAACAATTAAAAATAAAACATATATTTTTAATAAATAATCCAATCAAATTACGTATTTAATATGGTACCAAAGTCCAATTGCATAATGAATTAACAATTGAGTACATGATCCACTCCAAAATTATAAACTAACATTGGAATGATAATAATTT